TACTCCCTTATAGAAATTTTTGTATAATATTATTTTTAGTCGTCAACTTAAATCACACATTTATATTTCGTGGATTGATAAAATATGCTTAGTTTCATACCAACTATACCAACTATACCAACTATGATCATATTTTATCAAAATTTAAATTTCTAATGTAAAAGAGTGATGTTTGGGTTCGTTAATTTGTTTGTTAAAAGTTCAAAAAAAGATAAAACGTTGGTATAAGTCACTATATGCCTGTAAAGCATAGAATTTGGAATAAACCACTTAATTATAAAATGTTTAAGATTCATGAAATTTGAGTGTGTGGCGTATGAGTAACATTTTTGTAAAAGTACATGGATTTCTCATATTTAAAATTATTGAATTCGAAAGAATATGAATACAATTTATTATTGGGGATGATCAGCTTGATATTTAGTAATTGTCATTACTGCCCTCCTTTCAAGCTTTTATAAATATACTAGAGACCTAGCTGTGGTTGGTATGTATGTATATACTGCGAACACGAGTTGAACATATAATCAGTCTAATATCTTGCCAAAAATATGCTTCCATTTTTCTTCACTCTTTTAGTTATAAACTAAAACATTTCTCATTTTTTTTTTTAAATTAATTTAAAATTAAAAAATAATTAAAGTAATGAAATATTTGCTTTGAAATTCTAGTTCATAGGGGAATATCAGTGACAGAATTTACTAAAAAAACTTAAACTCTTTTTATCAAACCGACTATGCAAAAAATTGCGAATTTGCTTAAATCAAAAATAAACACACTTTATTAAAATTAAAATAATTAATACAGATAATTTTAATATATAAGTGACTTTGTATTAAGTTTAATGTTTGTAATTGTTGTGATTGCACAAGTTTGTGGCTTCATGATATTCTCACCTTGAACATGAAAACGGTGCACTTGGCACAGAATTGCAATTGCTTTGTATTTTTCTTTTATATATTTGCTTTGTATTTCTAATGCCTTAAAGAAAAATATGACAACACACACACATACAATCACACAAATATCATAAAGTCAACATATGTTCTAAGGCAAGAAGAAAAAAATTGCAAATTATTTACAATTTACAAAAACAAAAGCAAAAACTGCAAATACCAAGCACAACAACAAGGTAATCGCAATATACATACAACGATTTGTTGTTTAACTAAATGATGTGCAGTGTAGGTGTGTAGGAATATGTGGGCGAAAAGAAACAATATTTTTCTTCTTCTTCATCGCTTTGTGTTCTTTTCCTTTGGTTTTATATTTCTAAAATACAAGCTTATATGTTGACGGAATTTTATGGCAAGTAATTATTTGAAATAATTAATTCATTCATGATTTCATTTCTGGAGAGGTTTGGATATGAATATATTGGATATATTAAGGGCAAAAAATACATTATGTCAAGACTAGCTCATTTCATTTTATTAATACTGCTTTTATTTTTAGAAAGTTGTAGATATAAAGATATCAAAATACGTATTGTCAGCCAAAAATTCAATAAATAAAAAAAAAAAATTTGGTTGTAATTCAATATTGTTTAAAATAGCTCTCTATTAAAACAATAGTTTTTATTAAGAAACATATTTTTTTTTAAATTTCAAATTTTAAAAATCAAATTTAATATGTTTACAACTTCAACTTAAATGTTAGCCAATTCTACCATTTAGTTACCACCGTTAATACTACTGTTCAGTAGAAAAAGCATTAAAAAATAAATTATAGTAAATAAAAAAATTTAAAATTATTATTTCAAAAAACATATAAACAATGTGATCGACTTAAGTAATAAACCTACTACGATATATACATAAAAAAGATATGAGTGGATATATAATTTATATAAGTAAATAATAAATCAATGTTTTATTAATATATCTTCAAGTCGCATTGTAAATATTTATTTTGCATCTTTTGGTTAAGCATGTACATTGCTAACAGCCTTGAAACATCATTCACCTTTTCGGTGACTTTTAAAAATTTTAATTAATTTTAATTCTTTTACATAAATTTATTTATTTATTATTTTTGTATAGTAATATATATAAATATAAATAACACAAGAAAAATTTAAAAAAATACACGAATAGACGAAGGCGAAATCAACATACAACGTACAGTACACGAAAGAAGCGGTTTCAGAGTTGCCAACTAAGCATTGACAAAAGACAGCCAGGCACCTGGGAATTGACTATACAATATGATTCGCGCCAAGCTACGTCAGCAAAATTCCCAATACGAAAAACCACAAAATCGTAAATGGGTGCTTTTTATGTTTCAAAAGAAAATAGCGAAACTGAAATGTTCAGCGCCAAAGTGGCTGGCTGCATTCGGAAAGGCGTTCGCAAGCTTTAAATGTGATACTCATAACCGCAAAGCTCCTGGTTTCAGTTTAATAGTAAAGCAAACTTTACAATTACAAAATCAATTTGCACAATTAAATACAATCACTCTTGCCTCCAGTTGTCGGCAGTACAAACAAAATGTAAAATGTAAAAGCAATGCCGTAAAATATTTTTGAAATTTTCCATTATAAAATATATATATTCGTAATAGATATAATGTGTTTTTTTCTTTTTTAATAAAATAGTTACACTTCCTACTTGCAATTGTTTTATTTTTTGAATCATAAATCATTTTATGCAATTATTTATTTGTATTTTTTTACAACTTTATTTGTTGTATGTGATTTAACGTATATTTATATATACATATAAATGAAAGATATTTTTATGAAAGACATTTTAATAAAATTGATATAAGAAATGCTAAACTACATACTTTGAGTACGTATTTGAGAATTTAATTTTTGATGTGTGAGATTGCAATCTGTTTATGTTGTGTAGATAGTGATATTATTTATATAAAATTAAAAATCGTTTCATATATATCAATATAATAAAATTTAAATAAATTAAAGTTCCATTAATTTCGGCTATTGTTTTCATATAGGTCCAGCATTTTTCACGGTAATATTAAGATATGGTATTCCTTTGAAAAGAAAATAGTAAAGCGCTATTTGAACTGCAATAAGTATGTTGTAATCAAAGTGGTCAGAAATTAATCATTTCTACGTTTGAACGAAAGTGATTGCATGGAAAATTGCATTCGTACAGTATAGTTAAAAATTTTATGTAAAATGTGCGCTATAAAAAATGTTATGCGCAACTCAACGTTCCAAATTTATTCCGAAAAAATGCAGTTACACTGAACTGTTGCATTCAAACGCTTGTGTGGGTGCGCAGTTTGTGTGTCCTAATTCGTTTGCAGTTTGTTGCAGCTCGGTGTGGCAATGGCACATAAACGATGTAAGAAAACTACAGCAAACAAAATTGAAAGTAGATAAACTCGATTACCTAACATAAAAACGTCAACGTCATAAATTAAATAACAAAAACTTGGTTACGTGCAATAAAAAAAACCGCCTACGTATGCAACAAGCTCATGCCGGTAAAGCAGTGCTGACGTAGTTTTTTGAAACGCCTGCTAATTTTTCGGTAACTTAACACATAAAATGAGCGTTTACTTAATAACTGACGCTTGAATGTTTTGCACAAAATTGATGTGTAATTCAATAAGAGAAAAGATTTTATTACAATAAATAAATAATATATATTTTTTATGTGATATAAACAAATACCCTTATAATAATTAAATTGGCTATGATATTCTTTTGTCTTAATTAAGAAAGGGTATAAATGTGTTATTCATTTAAGGTTTCAAATATTATAGACTTCTAGAAGAACAGCAGTGTTTTAACAATAATTAAAATGATAAACGGAGAAATTATAAACGGGTTTTATCCCAATTTTGCTTAGCTATGCTCAGATATTTTTATTTAACAGCTTAGTCGTTGCAAGTGTCATAACAATATCTGAGAATTGAATATCAGGGAGCAGAGTGCAGTTGCCCAAAATTTGCTTGTGTATAGGTTGCCAAGACACTTCAACACTGACATCCCCGGCTATCTCGTTAAGAGCACCCCGGAGATATCGAAATTTAAAGGATTTATCTATAGCGCTAACGAGAGATTTGATGGCGGCTTGACTATCCGCGAAGATTACGATATGTTTAACAGGGATCATATTACTGTTGGTTTATGAATCGCCATTACTTCTGCCTGAAAGACACTGCAATGGTTTGGTAGACCAAACGAAATGTTCAATATTTTCCAATGTTTATCGTAAAATATAAATATATGTAATGTGTCAAATAAATATTCCGTAATACTAAAAAATTTCTGAAGAAAATCTCTATATAAATATTTTTATTGTCGAAAATACAAAGGAATTCAACCATATACTCATAGCTTTTATAACAAATTTTTTATAAACTATTGTTTGTAATATTGAAGGTCGCAAAAACAAATATCTTTTAAAATACTTAAATGTTCACATAAATTTTTCATGCACTAATTTTATAAATAGAAGTGTTTAAAAATATAATTAATAAAATATAGAAAAAGAAAAACATTTTATTAAATTACAAATAAAATTTGTGTAATCTCTAAATAAGTAACAAGGCTATATATTCTTTTCAAAATTCTTTTCTGTGCCTTGCGCTGTAATAGTTCCGCTGTGTTGTTGTGAATTATATGGTAGAATTAATTAAATTTTTGTAGGTAATTAATAATAAAATTAACATCATTATCAAGTAAAGATTAAGATATATTACTGCACTACAAAATATTTTAAACTGAGTAAAACAATTTTGACAGACCAAATGATATGGGCAATTAGATTGAAATCTCTATCTAAATAGATTTGGATATATATAGAGTTGGATATATATTTTATATCTAATATTCAATTAATTAATTTTTTTAACAACGATTAGTATACAATAACAACACTTCAAATTATACTTCAAAACTTTGTCCGATAAATAAAGATTTTGTTAAACTTTAATTAAGCTAATTAATGCTGAATTTTACCAATACAAATGCTTCTCATATTTCTTTTAAATTTATTCACATATTTTTATTTTTAATTTACCTTTCTCTTACGCGGTGCATCTTCTTTGAAGTCCACAACGATGCCCTCATCAGATGTTGAAACCGATGTAGTACGTAGGCGGGCATTAGCTGAAGGATCGTTTAAAATGGTGCTAGTATGTAAAACATGACCATCATCACTAAGCGGTGGTGAAGAGGATCCAGAACTCCACGAAGCTGAAGAACTACCTGGACTTGACCCAAGCCATTTATCTAAAATATAGAATTAAATTTAAAATAAGTTAGCGAAATAATAAATTCTTAAAATAATTAAACTCAATAACTATTTTGTAGCAAATGCACAAAAAATTATTTATAAACATTATTAAGATCATCAACATATTCCAATGACCTCTATTAACTTATTTAAGATATAGAAAATTTCTTAGTTTTATATCGCATTTTTAGTTTCAAGCACATACATATATTATTAAAAAGTACGATTAAATAGAGTTAGGTTTTCAGCTCTTCCTTACCTCCATTTTTGGGAGATTTTGGTGAATTTGAGAGGTTCATCAAAATCAAAGCTGCATTGCATTCATTCATTTCTTCTTCATTGCACTGATTATCGCTGCATTCATGTGAATAAGACGGCGGACGTTTACGTGAACTGAAATACAATCAAATAAAAATAAAGTAAATGTTATTAATGATTAAAGAGTTTTATTTAGTAAATTAATATTATAGTTTAAAATTTTAACATTGAAATAAGTCAAAAAGTTTTGCAAGTGCAAAGTGGTGTCATAGCAATTTTATTTATCTTCTATTTTTTTTTTTATTTAATTTAATTTATTTATTTAATTTTATTTATTGTCATACAAAAAGTAGAGTAACGCCAATCAAAGATTGAAATTAGCGTATTTTAGTCGCTCTACACGCACAATCAATCCACTAAAAGTTGTAACTCGACAATATTTGTGTATATATCATCTACAAGCAAAGATATTAGAAATAATCTCTTCAATATTAGTTTAGGAAATTTTGCGACCCAGTGAGGAGCGCCATTTGACCCCCTTTTTTAAAATAAAAGTTGGCAATAGAATTCATTTAGTCGTATTGCTTTGCGACTTATGTTATTTCAAAATCGGTAAATATTTAAACATTTTTTGCACTTTTAAGTAAATAAAATTTATTTGATTTCTTTGTGAATTTTAAAGAAAACTGTTGTTAAAAATTTCAAAGTAGAAAAAACGGCACAAAAATTTAAAATTCTTTTGTGATTTGATTGTTTAGTTTGTATGTAAATTGTACTGACCTTACACAACAATTTTGAGTCATTTTAGGCATTACGAACATTTGTTGATGAGGCGTTTCGAAATGCCACAATGACGCAAAGCGGATCACCCATTTTATTTAGAATTCGAAACAAAAAATACACATTTTTGCCATATTTTTTTGATGGGTGTGAGCTCATGCTGGATACACTAATGAAGTTAAAAATACAAAATATTTCTTTATATATGGATTTATGTAATTTATTAATAGGAATAGAAATAGGTTTGGTTCTATAGAAGCTTTTAGTCTCTTTCACTTTAACATGGTTACACTATAAATAAAATGTTTTTCATATATATTTTTATGTCTGAAAGAAAATTTTGACCAATTTTCTTTAATTATTCTTTTTTTATTTTAATGAACAAATTTTATGTATAGATTTTTTCAAAAGCTAATTGTTGCTTCAATTGCTGATATATAACAAAACTTTTTTTTAATATTTGAAAAAATATTTTTTTATTGTCACCAATATTTCGATTGTAGTCTATAGCCATCTTTAGGGTACCACGACATTTTATATTAGTGTCATGAAAATGACGTTATCTTCAGTTATTATATTAATACCTTGAAGTTGATTACTTTTGATTCTAAATAAAATGGGTTAAAAGTCGTTTTATTTTTTTTTTAATTTTTTTTATTTAAACCTTAAGTTATTTCTGTTTTTTTTTTCCATTATGCATTTATGGTTTTGAATTTAGTATTATATTTATTTATTTATAAAAGTATTAAAAGTTAATAGTTATTAATGTTTATTTATGCAATGTTATTTAATGTTCAATACCAGCGAAAAAGTAGTTTAAAAACGTTGAAATATGCTATTACAAAACAACCTATGGAGCTCAAGCTAATGATTTTGTTAAATTTCTTAAACAAAAGGCAATATTCATAAAGTTCGATGCACAGCGCGCCTTCGAAATTCGAGCACGAATATATAGAAAAACAGTACTTTTCGATGATTTCTCAACAAGACAAAAATGGGTAGCCAAAGCATAAAATTTTATTGCTATTGCCTGTAGCTCCAATGTGCTTAAAATATGTACGGCGGTGAGGTAGGATGAAACGTGCATCATGCAACGGTCATCAGTGACTGTATGCACTACTTGTCAAAGTAAACTTCAATTGTCTGTCTATTTGAATGACTGTATACCTATCTCACTGTCTGAATGTCAGACTATCAGACTGTCGACTGTCTGTTGTTCGCTCAGGGACTGGCCGCATAAAAATCTCATAGAAAGCTGCTGTAAGCCGCACTTGAAACACTAAAAGATATGCGGAAATTCGTTAGCTCTAAAATAGCAATCGACGACTTGAGTTAGATAGGCGAAGCATTTACCGATTAGTTATTGTTTACGTCGTCCCAAAACTGCTGGTCTTTATGTTTTTCGAATGTTATTGCAATGCAATTTTGAATCGGGATCATAAAAGTAAGTTAACCGCTTTAAGTCGGAGCGTGCAAACGATTGATACATAAACACTTCATCAATTCTGCATCATGATTTGCCTGTAAGCGATTTAAAATACTCTTTTGTAAATGTAATGCGAATGAAATTATGCAAAATTGGTACATCCCAATTTTTGTATGAAATTTCATACTTTTGTGCATTCATTTGGAAATTTGTTGAGAAGTTTGCTTTGCTTCTGTTACATTCCATAGATTTATTACTTCTTGTATAATAGTGTGGTTAGTGTAGACCGGAAGAGACACGGAGTAACTATGTTTAATTTAACTATATTTAATTTAAATACCAATTAACTTATTGTGAAAAAGTTATTTTTTAAAAATGAGCAGCCAGACAAAGTGGGTACAGTCAGTAAACAACGAAAAAAACATTGATTTGTAGATAAATTAGTTACAATAGGATCAGAAGCATCCTCAGCATATTTACAAATAATAATCTTTTTAAAAAATGTTCAGAAATAAACCTAAAAGTAGCAGAATATACATGGGAATGAAAATATATATTTAATGGACAGGTCAGTAGCTGAAAAAACAGATATCCGTTTCAATCAGACATGCAAGAGCTGAGAAGATGAGGATAAAGAAATGATTAAATATTTCCATGGCAAATGACTACGTCTAGCGAGATTAGGACATTTTACTATAGAACTCTAAAAACAAATGCGTCCGGCGAACCTTCCAAATACAGATAAATCATATATATTTTATTTTAGCAACCACACAGGTTGATTTTAAGCCTCAAAACTTTATACAAAAGAACACCTATGCCATACTTAGATAGAAAAGAAAGATCTGACGCTTTTTAAAATTAGATTTAAAATCAGCAGAAGAAATATGCGAACCTACAATGAAATAAAAATCCTACTGAATAACATAGAGTTGTATAACTTGTGGTTTACAAACCAGTAGCTGGAAAAAAAATCTGATATGCAAAATAGAAGGATAAAGAAATGACTAAATATTTCTATTGTAAATGACTTGGTCTGGCTAGGGTTAACACATTCCAATATGAAATTCTAAAAAAAACACAACATTCGGATCATCCAAATACAGATAAACCAAAAAACTTACTCCAACAATCGTACAAGCAAAATAAATGAGAACCTACAATAGAACGAAAATAAAACTAAACAATCTAGAGTTCTGAAACAAGATGTTAAAAAACCTAGAGTTTCATCAGATTTGCGGGATCTGCAAAGAAAAATAACTGAACGAAACTACTGACCAGTTCCATTTTAAATGACAAGATCTACTAAGGTTGAGACATTCCACTATTGAAATTTGCAAACAAATGCGCTTGGCGGATCGCGGTTTATTATTTGTATGCCTAAGTCATCTCAGTGAGATAATTTGTTAAATTGACTTTTGTTAAAATTTTAACCTCATTGTATAGAAATGTTAAATGTTTTAGATGAGTTTTGTGAAACATTTTGTTGCTACTTTAGAAACAGATTTCCTTTCATATTTTTCTTTTATTTTTCCAAAAATAAGCTACTTTTTCAATGGCACAGGTGAGTTTTATACTTCAGAACCTCATACAAAACGAAGCCTATACTGTACTTGGATAGAAGAGAAAGATCTGCCGCCAGTTGAGTCAACTAACTAACTATAAAAAATCTAATAAAATAAAAAAGGAATTGTAAATACAATTCATCGAAAAAATATCGGGAACAAGACCACAGTATCTTATTTTTTTTTTGTTTAGTAAAATCACTAGCAGAAACGCAGTAATTGCGCACAGGTTCCTTCTGTTTAATGTGACTGCTGGCTCTAAGTAATTGGCAATTAAATTCAGTATAATTTTCCATAAATTTCTGTGATTTCAATGATAGAGGATAATAAAAACAAATTTTCCTGGTTACAAAAAAAAAACTCAATTTTTAATTGTATGGTTGCAATTTCAAGCTGTACATGTCTCACCGGCCGGTATAATTTTCTACACTGCTTGTATGCTTTCTACCGTCAGTCAATTGCTAAATATATATCCTCTTGGAGCCGAGATGCAATGATTTTATTGCCATTTGGATATATTATCTAGCAAACTGTTATTTTGTTTTCTTTCTCCGCCTTAATATCACAAAATTCAAACAATTTTAGTGTTTGGTTGCAAAAGCATGGACGCCACAACGCGGCGCATGCACCGCAAATGCTGTTGCAAGCTGAAGTGTGCGCTGCATTAGCCGCGTGATTGAAATGTGATTTTCTTGCGCCTGGGAAATAATCCGTGATTTGGTCGATTTTTCTGTCAAAATAGAAAATAACATTTGAAAGCAAAGATACACAAGTAAAAGGATTTTTCCTATCCGCAAAGCGTCATACGGCAGTTGTTGCATGCACCATACAAATAATTACGTACACCGTTGCCTGCTGTTGCTGCGATTATTAGTGCTGTGGCAATAGTTGAATTCGTGAGCATAGATGCGGTCTAAAAATTACGAGCGTAAAGCAAACGCTTTCGAACCAAACAATTACGACATACAATATACAAAATGTATTCTGTACTTGTTTTATACACTACATATATATATATATATCTATAGATATATGTATCTATGGCAAATATATGTATGTTTTTATGCATACTTTTTTGTGTCTTTTATTTGCTCTGTTGCTTTGTTGTGGTAATAGCAATTGCATCTCCAAGTCAACCTTTGACTCGAGTTTGTCAGTGAGTTTCGCTGAAATGGGTCTTGAGTTTTTGTTTTTAATAGTTTTACTGATCTTAAGATATGAAGAAATAATGCTTATTAAGCGTAAATTGTGACAAAAAGTGAAGCGAATGGTTGGAGTGTATTTGAAACTTAAAAGTGCGACTTACAATCTTCTAATAAGATTTGCATAGTAAAACTTTAGTTCTACACAGTTTTACACCGGTA